TAAGATTATATGATACAGGGATTATATGGTTTAAGGATCATATACTGTTTTGTGGAGTAGTGAAGTTAGACCGCCGCGAGTTTCGAACCCGCGTTGTTTCAGCTATGGTGGAGGACATCAAGGCAATGACGTGCCACGACTCTACAAGAAGTGTGCTTTATGTTACCCACGTGACATTCTAAAACTGCCTAAATAGCTATATTGGGGTGTATTGACGTTATTATGTTGTATCCACAAAGCTAAACATTACTGATGAAATTTAGGGGTGGAGGAAGGGGTGTACCAATGGACGCATGAGTTGTTTTTTTACGAGTGGTCTAAATTTTGACTGAATATAAAGTAGTCTAACTTTTGACTGAATATAAAGTGGTCTATATTTTGATTGAATATAATGTGGTCTAAACTTTGACTGAATATAAAGTGGTCTAAATTTTGACTGAATAAAAAGTCTGACGGTCCGATAAAATATTGGACTAAAGAATGTAGGACGTTTGTCTTTCTTTACTCTTCTGAATTGTTGAATTTTGCCCACCCCCCCTTTTTTTCCTTCATGGACAGATCAGCGAACTGATCAACACCCCCACCCTCCCCCCATGGGCAGATCCCCAGTGTGATCGTGCTCCCCCCATCAGACTCGACCGACGGCTCGTGTACGGGCGGAAATGAGAGAGGAATTCAAGACGCTGGAACTGTCAGGCTCTCTCGTGGGCCGCCCGGCCATTTCCGGCGCGGATGATCAGTTGGAAGCGAGAACATGTCTACAGACAGAGGGTGTCGTAGACCGGGGTCAGGGGGGTCAGACCCAGGGGGGTCAGCACAAGAAGGTCGAGCATGGGTTCGTAGATGTTGACGGTGTCTGTGTCTGTTTTCTTATGTCTGTCTGTTCGTGCCCAGCGTGCCGGCTCCACGGATTTCTATTTGTGGAAGTCTGTCTAACCGTGCACAGACACAGACTGTGAGCTGACAGACATTTATTTGCATATTAGCTCGTGTCTGTGAGAACGACATCTCAACTACGGAGACCTAGTGTTGTTAGACCTAACACAAACAAGGCCCATCATCCAATCGTACATGATTTAAACCGTGTTAGTACCTAACGCTATATTACACACTGTACACATGAATTTTTTTAGAGCAGATAGCTCTGTTTTTTTTTATCTCAGTTTAGGTCTAAGGATTTTCTAAAACAGCGTCAGACAACAGCAGAAATGGCCCACTAACGTTTTAATTCGCAGAATTAATGTGTAGATAAACAGTCTTGTCTTTCTGGCATTTTAAAGCCATTTTTAATGTCTCTAAAATGTTCATCTACTAACCTAATGTTTCAAATCAAGCCTTATAATAATTATTACATTGTGTAGTTACAAATACCAAGCTTGAGTAAGGCAGGAGGGGGTGGGGTAAGTGACAGAGAGGGGGGTGTCATTGAGCTCTAACTGCCTGAAACCGATACTGTTGTGCCATGTGTCACGGCCCAACAGCTTTGTTTTCACCGGCAGAGGAGCGTTGTGTTCGAGTCACCGGCCCCTCCCCCCACCCCCTGTAAAATCGACATTGCTACACGTATATTCCATTTATTGACCGCCCTCGCTATAGAAGGCACTCATGCGAGATTTGATCGCTTTATTATTAACCAGATATTGTCAAAGTTTTCCCATTTTAAATCATTAGGACACTTTTAATCAAGGTCTGGGAGTGGGTGTGGTTGGATACGCTGCTGTTTATGGTACAACGTTTCGTGGTCCGGTCTCTACAGCAATAAGTATACCCACACTATCTGGACCCCATATAAACCCCTAAACCTAAATATAACAGTTATAACATCAACTAGACCCCTACAATAACCCCCTTCAACTGTAACCCCTCAGTACATTTTCACAAAACTCCAATAGTCACAAGATTAAACTCACGAATGCGCTTATCTGTCTGCCCTTTATAATCGCCATGTTTTTTGCTCAAACCTGACCCAAACGCTAGCCTACATTTGCATCCAGTACCACGTGATAAACTAATCCACTCCTTGAAGTATCCCAATCTGTAGATACTGATATCAACCATTAATGGATCAATACAATTATCTTTCAACCTTTTCAAAAGCACTTCATGGTATTTGCTTTTTAAATCTACGTTAAAAACAAACTGCACATTTTCATTTCTGAAGTCTTCATCTTAAAAATAAACATTTAAACATTAAAATAAATAGTTTTTTGACTTTTTAAATGAGCATGGTTGAAAGACCCTAGACATTACAATTTCCCACAATTCCACAGGAGGGAGCTACCCACTACCCATAATTCCAGAGGGAGCTACCCACTCCCCATATTCCAGAGAGGGAGCTACCCACTCCCCACAACTCCACGGTAGGGAGGCTACCCACTCCCCATATTCCAGAGAGGGAGCTACCCACTCCCCATATTCCACAGGAGGGAGCTACCCACTCCCCATATTCCAGAGAGGGAGGCTACCCACTCCCCAGAATTCCACAAGGGGAGGCTACCCACTATGAAGCGAGGGAGAAAACTCTGGAACAAAAAACTCGTCAATTGTCCCAGGTTGACAAAGATGTCTGGCCACCCATCGATCTCCACCCGCTGCCGACCGTCCAATGAGAATAAAGCTTTGGCCGTCCAATGAGAATAAAGCTTTGGCCGTCCATCTTCCGGTGTTTCGAGACATCGATTTCTTCCATGTTTTCTTAGCCGTCTGCTTGTCAGAGTAAGTCCCCGGATTTTTCAAACACACCACACCGTGGATTGGAAGAATAGGCAGCATATGGACATGCTGCTTCAAGAAACCAGCATATTGGTATGCTACATATAACAACATATACTACTTAAACAAACCTGTATGTTGATATACTAAACAAATGTAAACAAACCAATATATCGATATGCTAAATATAACAACAACATATACTACTTAAACAAATCTGTATGTTGATATACTAAACAAATGTAAACAAACCAATATATCGATATGGTAAATAAACAAGGATATTAATCTGACGCTTAGTTAAACAAATCGCAGCGCACAAACTAGTTTTTAAATTTCCGAGATTTAGTTGTTTGCGATCGTTCACCAGAGCAATTAAATTCAGAGTACACGACAAATCGTTCCGACAACTGGAATTAAATTCATCTCCGTAAAACAATGGTTGGATTACAGCTTCATCAGTAAACACGCAAGATGGAAATGATTGGTTAGCACAACGGAAATTTGTATGTGCAGAGAACGTATTTTAAGACCAACGGCCTACACTATTATACTGAGGTGTTGTATAGCCAGTATTTGTATCACTACAACCAGTAAAACTAAACTGATTACAAACTCCAGAATTCATCCACTTTTAGTGCATATGACATTAGGGACAATTCACATTTCCATTCGCATCCTAACCCATAATGTATTTTCTGTTTAATATATCATAGATGGGATAAATGTGATTTATCGTGATATATGTGATATGGTTGTATTGTGTTTCATTAGTGTGGAGGTGTGGTGTCTTCCAAATGTTATATGCTTACAAAGGGGAGGGTTTATGGGAGTTTATATAACTTTATATAGGGTAGCCCAATAGTATACTTGCACTTTTGGTGTGGTATGAAATTTGCAAGACTCCTAATACCCTACCACGTATCTATGCAAATGCATTATGTACAACCTAAGCACAATGTAGATTTTGCTGAAGTCCTGACGATGTCTTTTGATCGAAACACTAAAACACGCTTGATTTAGTAAACAGCTTGTTTTAGTACGGAGGGGTGGGGGGAAATTAGGTGAGGGAGCCATCCACGTTGATCAATTCATTAAAAAATATTTCAATTGACGAGCTTGATTTAATATTAATAGCATTATCTAGGACAAGGTCGGAGCAGTTAAAAATGGCCGTAGTCTTAAGACGGAGTTGTTTAAAAATAGATCGATTGAAAGATTTATGTTTTGTCAAGTTAAACGTTCTATAGCTGCTCCATATGTGCAAGGTACGGTCTCGAGTATAGGGACGATGTTTGATAGAAAGATGATTGTTTAGACACTTTACAATCGGAGTGGGGGGGGGGGGTGATTTTAACCCGGGTAACTCTGGGAGGGACTAAAAAGAAACGGATTTAAACAGTTGAATGTACAGGATTGTATAGAATAAATGATGGCGTACCCTGATTGTGAATGATTGGGTTAATATTTGGTGTGACATGATGTATGATTGTGTCTTTACGTTTTGTGTCAAAGTAAATTAATGTACTGCTTAATAAATGATTGGAGGACTTGATGAATGATTGTTTCTTGATTATACCCAATGATAAACAACGGCATGACTTAGTGAATGATTGTGTCTTGATAAATGATTGTGTGACAAATAAATAACGATGTAATGCGATTAAGTGTGAACAGGGAAAATGTCGGCAAATGAAATGCGCCACGCAAGCGTTGAGTAAAGGCTCTCACTCATGTCTGATATATAAGTAGTAATAGCGCAGGTAAGAAAAGGTGTTTGTTACCTGTATGACCCTCATGTCTGATATGTAAGTAGTAATAGCCAAGGTAAGAAAAGGTGTGTTACCTGTATGACCCTCATGTCTGATATATAAGTAGTAATAGCGCAGGTAAGAAAAGGTGTTTTACCTGTATGACCCTCATGTCTGATATTTAAGTAGTAATAGCGCAGATAAGAAAAGGTGTTTGTTACCTGTATGACCCTCATGTCTGATATATAAGTAGTAATAGCGCAGGTAAGAAAAGGTGTTTGTTACCTGTACGACCCTCATGTCTGATTTATAAGTAGTAATAGCCCAGGTAAGAAAAGGTGTGTGTTACCTGTATGACCCTCATGTCTGATATATAAGTAGTAATAGCGCAGGTAAGAAAAGGTGTTTTACCTGTATGACCCTCATGTCTGATATATAAGTAGTAATAGCGCAGGTAAGAAAAGGTGTTTTACCTGTATGACCCTCATGTCTGATATATAAGTAGTAATAGCGCAGGTAAGAAAAGGTGTGTGTTACCTGTATGACCCTCATGTTAAGGCCCGTCTCCTGGGCCAGCTGCTCTCGGATGTGTCGCGTGGGTTTGGGCGTGGCCGCAAAGGCCGCCTTTAGGGTCTCCAACTGTTTGGCTTTGATGGTGGTCCGCGGGCCGCGACGTTTGGCCCCCACCGTACTGGACCCGTTATTTCCGCCACCCCCGCTATTTCCATTTCCGGTTCCGGAGCCGCCATTGTCCGGGCTGGGACAGCTGTCGTTGCTGTTGGCGTCGGGTCCGCCGCGGTCCATGGGAATGTCGCTGGTGGAGCAGTTAGAGTCCACGGAGCCCGGGCTCACGTCGAGGTTCGGACAGTCCCGCTCCTCCTTGATGGACTGGGGCGGGATGGGGCTGCCCAACCGCGGGGACAGCAAGGAGTTGAGGCTCCCGTTTGTCAGGGACCCGATCCCGGAGCTACCGTTGATGGAGTTGCCGCTGGAGTTGAGCCCGTTGGGGCCGCCGAGGTTGAGGGCGCTGCAGTTGAGTGGGCCGCCGAGCCCCGAGCCGAGGGAGCTATTGAGCCCGTGGGGCACGCCCAGCCCCCCGCTGGCGTTGATGTTGAGAAAACTGGAACTGTTGTTGTTGTTGGAACCCAGGTGAGACATGCTGTTCAGTATCGATTCTTTGGTATCGTGTGGACTAGTATCGCCGTCCAGGGGAAAGTCTTTATCGGATATGTTTCCTTGAGTATCGATACCAGAGTCCATATCGCCGTCGTCTTCAACGTCCGAGCCTGCAAAGATAAAACGTTAAAGTTAGCCAACACGGTAGAGCACTAGCTTACAACACCAGCGGCCTGGGTTCTAACACCACAGGCACCAACACAGGAATAAACAAACCTCTCTCATCCTGGAATCTATATAAAAACGCAATTAACTTAGGAATTAATTAAACCTGTTTTAACTTTTGATGTCTGGTTCAACAGATTAATTACAACGAGAAGACAGCTGCTTCCTATCTATGCTAGTCATATCTGCTGCTTGTTAGCTGTGATTAATTACACTTTTAAAACTTTAATTAATTAGAGATTGTAATTTATGCGATATCATCTGTACTTATAGAATTACAATGTGAATGCCGTTTTTTTAGACACATAAGCGCTGTCAGAACGTACAGTCTTATCTAATCTTGCCTAGGTTCGCAGGTATAAAAAACATTAAAAATAGATGCAGTAGAGTTTAGGAACCAAAAAAGTTGTTTATCAAAATTATCTTTGATTAATAAGTGATGTTTTGCCATAAAAAAATTAGATATACGTGTAAAGTGCTGGGTTTTAAATGTACTTTACTTGAAACATTCCGATTGATTTTTAGACCTCGCTCCCAACAGATTGCGGTGAAACTGGTCATTTCATGCTTTCAAAAACTCGCTATTTATCTAAATCTGTTACATTTAGAATTCAAATAAATCTAGATTTAGACTAGCTATTTGAAATACAAAGAGTCGAATACACATAAAAATAACAATAAAAGGTAATGACGATTGATTGATTCAACGGTAAATGCTCTTATTGAAAATAAAAATAATCTCATGCAAAAAAATTTCATTCATTATTTATGCATCTGCCGTATGCACCTATTAGTAAAATGATTGGGAATTATTTCCCTTTGGTGGTGGTGGGGGTATTTGAAGAATTTTGCTCACTAAAACATAGCTGTCAATCTGACAAAAGAAAGTTTATATTCATAGATTAGGCTATCGACAGTTTCTCCAGTCAAGCGAGACGAAATATTGGTAGAAAGATACGGTGAAAAGAACTGCCTTATCATTACCCCCCGCTCAAAACCAGTGAAGGAGAACGGAGCCAAATCGACTTTTTCCTTAACAGTTTGGGCGAGTTTAGAAACGTGAACAAAAGGAAAACAAAATGCCGCTTTCAAACCTGACTAGCCAAGGCCACACAATATGTTGCTTAAGTCCGTGGACTTCACTAAAGAAGAATTATTTGCCACGGCTTGTGATTATGTGACACGCGTTCAGCCACGGCCTACTCTAGAGGAGGGGGGGGGAGAAGAACATCTGAACTTAATAAATCATGATGAACTAATGGTGAACTAATGATGAACTAATGGTGAACTAAGTCTGGCCAGATTTTTCTTACAACATCGACTAATTTAGTGATAGTAAATTTAAATAGAAACACATACACACTTACGAATAAATTCTATTAAACGGTGTATTCGAAGCTTCTCTTAAGACGAATAAACTACTTAGGCGGCATATATATATATATATATATATATATATATATATATATATATATATATATATATATATATATATATATATAGTGTGTGTGTGTGTATGTTTATATCCTAAAAATGAGGGTGCAACTGAAACGAAAAAAAAAATTTCCTCCCCCCTGGCTCTGTGTTTGAGTGTCGGCCCAGTAGGGCTTTGAACGAGCGACCGCACGTCGCTGTTCAAATATGGCCCATTCATCCCCCCTGTTTGCTCAGCAAATACGGCTCACGTCGCAGGTTAAGTCACTCGATGCCGAGCGATTCAAGGCCGATAACTATTGAGAGTTAAAAAAACGGGGAGATAATCCTCACGGAGTTATTACAAAGACGGCAATGCTAGAGAAAAGAAAATATCGTGCAGGAGGAAGTCTAGTGTGAGAGTGTGCTAGTGTCAGCCGGTGTGTGTGTGTGTGTGTGGTTGTGGGGGGGGGGTAGGGGGGAGGGGGGTGATGATGTGTACGGATGACGTAGTAATGTGAATCAAGCGAGTAGTGATCGATGTACTTCGCGCTGATAGTGGACCTGATTGTATATATATATATATATATATATATATATATATATATATATATATATATATATATATATATATATATATATATATATATATATATATATATATATATAAGCTGACTAGGGAGTCACATCAAAGACTAGACTTCGCGTATTAATAACATACAAGTCAGCAAACAGTGAATTCATCAAAGAGAAGTTTTTTAACTACACCGTGTTCTTCAAATAACGCGCCGATATTGTTGTAGGAAATTTGGTTTATTATGTGTACAGTACGTGTCACAACGTCAGGCATATGAAAACCATAGGCAGCTGAGGTAATTGTTCTGCTTCTGTACGATCCAATGTATCAACACAATACCCCCATGATGTATGTTGTCATTTCAACATTATTCTACGCTCCTCCCCCCCCCACCCCCGTCATGATGGGCTTGTGTCGTCATTAACCAGCACGAGCTGACCACGCGCCCAATGAAACACAATGCCATGATCGGCTACTTAACAACAAGAACCCCTCTGACCCCCCAGGTCCCCCGACCCACCAGCGGAGATTCACGCACTCGCCCGGGGCCCTTGTGGCAATGATTTGCTTCTAATTCGACAAATAGATAGCCGAGGTAACCCGATTGGGGGCCAAACCGTTACACGACGCCTCGTTCTGGATCCGGTGATGGCTCCCCCACGGGGGGGTGAGGTAAAAGGATTAGGCGCGTGAAGACAACGCCATGATTGACCAGCCCGAGGGGGGACGGGCAAGTGCTCACAAGGTTTCATCAGACGGAAAGTCGAGTGAAACAAAATGGGAGGGGGACGGGCTCCGAGGGGGAGGAGGGGGGAGGTAACGAGGGGAGGGGAGTGAGAGAAGGGGACAAGTATGGGAGGATAGTGTAGAGGTAAAGAGTGGCGGGAGGGGACAAAGACTTGGAATGTAGTTATACACGGATTTATATTATATCCATATCCACATTGTACACACAAGTCTATCCTTATGTTTAGGTTATGTTGTTAGCCCGAGCGAAACGACCAAACCGCCAATAAAATATCCGTGTCTAGACGTATGGGCCGGGCGTGCAATCAAAAACAAAAAGCTCGCCAGACCAAATCTAAATCCAGGCGAGCGAATTGCGGAAATGACGTCAGTTAAGACGCCAAGGGGAACGCATTCAAGCGGAACAAGTAAGATAAGCAAGTCCCGAGGTTAGCTAACCTCAGCTAGTTTATCATCAGTTAAAAAACCATGAAAAACACGAGCAAAATGTAACGGCTGTGTACGGGAGACGGCTTTAAAAAAAAACAAGAAAGGATTTGAACTCACAACCTCCCCGCGACAAGAGCCGGACAGATGGCAAGCAGGATCGTCCCCCTCCCTGTGGGAACTGTAAATGGGCATCGCTCCGAGGGGGGTCCGGGCATCACGGTTCCAGCCCCTATACCCCCAGGGGCGTATAATCAAGGACCAAAACGGTCCAGAGCGGGTGACGGAGACCCCTGATGTGGCTGAATTAGATGGCGGCGATAGACACGTGACCGGGGGGTTAGCAAATGGAATCCTGGCCGGCCGTGAGTGCCGGCAAGACGTCGCGTGCCGGAGCTTCGAGGCTGTGCCGGCTGATGACGTTTCATGTTGGTCATCTTGCTGTCTTACAAGAAAACTCGCCGCCGCCCAGAAAAACACAATTTACTTAACACGAAATATGAGTCAGCCGACAAACGAGAGATTTTTCTTTATATAAGTACTCTCTACCGTTCTCATTGTAAAAACACAAAGTAATTGTATTAGAGAATCTGGTCCGCATTCGATAAAATTAAGAGCTTTAAAAAAACGCAAATAATAATGTTGTTAGATTGCATTTAATCATTGCTGAAGTTACGTTTAGTAATGTAGATACAATGTTTTAGAGTTTATTTTTTTATGTGTATTCATTTATGATAAAAAAAAGTTTACTTGTCGCTGAGTAAAAGCGGTGTTGATAAGCAAGAACACAAACAGAACAGACGAATACAATATCGATTTGTAACGATGTGCACATACGGCATGGTAACATATAGAGGTAGGGCATAGGTCAACTTCGAACAGTAACACAGAAAGTTAAGTAATTTGTGTTTAAATGATGTGTTCACTTGAGCTTCATGATGTTGATATATTTTGTGTGTTGTCATTGAAGCTCTAACATCAATTTTGTTCGCTCAGACCTGGAGCCTTCAGACAAACAGCAAGTGTGGAGCAATCTCTCAACGGCGCACGTCTGAACGTTGAATGCGATCAGACGTCAGCGGTCCTGACGGCGCACGTGCTCGTCTGCGAGAAACGCGCGTCCAAAAGGCAATAGTACTTCATTAGTAAATGACGTGAGTGGACCGACCCTCGCAATGGCCGGCGTGGGAATATTTCCCCAGCCTAGACCCAATTAGTTGCCGGGGAAGAGTGTTAATTCTCACCGCACCATTAGCCGTTTGGTCATTAATCCTGTGAGGAGATGCGCCCCTAACTGCCGTCTGCTGTCGCTTGGTGTCTCTTCAGCTGGTCAGGCTCTGTCCGTTAATTCTCTCAGATATGTGGCACCGTCGATACATTTCGTGCGGACATTTCGTATGTCGAGAACTACGGACATTTCGTATGTCTAGAACTACGGATATTTCGTATGTCTAGAACTACGGATATTGCGTATGTCTAGAACTACGGATATTTCGTATGTCTAGAACTACGGATATTTCAAAATGCTAGAGCCACGGACATTGCAAAAGCCTAGAAATACGGACATTTTAAAAGGCCACAACTATGGACATTTAAAAAACTAGAACTATGGACATTTGGAAAGGCTAGAACTATTAGCATTTCTCTAAGTCTAGAATCACGGATATTTCGTATGTCTAGAATCACGGATATTCCGTATGTCTAAATAACGCAACCATATGTCAGCAGTCGCCAAACAAATGTTAAATTATAAATGTATGAGCGATCGAACCCTGTCGGGAT